TTAGGTTAAGTGTTTGTCGAGAGCAAAACCGTTGGCTTGGGAGGTAGAATATCGGCCGGTTGTTAAAATCGTGCAAGGCCCGACCCAATGAATATGAGTATAAACAGACATCCATATACACAGAAATAAATGCATTTCTATCGATCTGTCAAATAGATTTACATTTATTTTTCTATCTGTACGGTAGATATACGTGTCTAAGACTGATAGATATGCATTTATTTCTGTGTCTGGTGCTGTCCGTGTAATGAATGTCAATTAGGTCGTATTGTCGGTAATTTTTTTTTTCTTTTTGACGTCTTGGAAGTCCAGCTCCTGAGGTCATTTGATTTGAGTTTTCTAATTATTTTTACGTTTTTATGCTTACCAAAAAGACCCTTTTTTATAATAGTTTTAATCTCTTTGTTATTATCTTGTTTTAGTGTTCCCAAGATACCTGTATATTTTATTTTTTAAGTTTTATGCTTACCAAAAAGACCTTATTTTCATAATGGTTTTAATCTCCATTTTATTATCTTGTTTGTTTTAGTGTTTCCAAGATCCCTGTATATCCTCAAACGTCTTAATTTTTCCCCCTCGTTGCAGATGAGGTGGTGTCCGCCAAGCCCTCCCGGATGGGCATGGTGTCCCCCCCTCGCCCCGGCACGCAGGACTCCGCCCAGACCCCCGCCCACCTCCTGTGGCTGCAGACGGAGGACAGCCACGCAGAAGGAGGCAGGTTCCGCAACGGCCTCGGCGGGGGCGGCAGCAGCAGCGACGGGGGGGAGGGGAGATCGCCCGACCTCATGAAACTCAACACCTTCGCCCCCAATTTCAACATGACGAGGACCTATGATGAGGCTCTGGACACCTTCAGGTCGCAGGGGAGCCAGAGGTGGGTTTGCGGTCTTCGCTGGTGTATATATATTATATTATATATCTATATTATAATATATATACTTTTATATATATTATATATTATTATCTATATACATATATATATATCTAATACTATCCATTATATACATATATTACATATACTACTCTTCTATATTTATATTTACATTATTATAATTATATACTTTTAGTACTTCCATATATATATGTATAGTATATATACGTACTTTATACTTATATAGTATATATTATATTTTTATAATCTATTGTCTTATATTTTATCTTATTTATACTATGATATTTACAGCACATACATAGTGGTTATTATATATTTACTATACTTATATTTATTATATTATATTACATATTTTATACTTTTATTTCATATTATATATCTTATAATTATCAGTATATATATTATTATTTATCGATATTATGAATAGTATATTATTATTAATATATTATTATATCTTTATATTATTTTATCATATCTACATACATTTTACATACATTACATAATACATATTCATCTAACACATCACACACCATCTCACACACTACACACACACTACTACACACACACCACATCACACACACACTACATCACAACCTAGCAACACCACATCACTAACATTGCCACAGTTTTTTATTATCAAATATTCTACATATAATATATAATAACTTCGCATATATATTATATTTATATAATGGTATATCTCATATACCATATTATATATGTTATATTGTGTATAGTATATATATCATATATTATATATGTGTAGTATATATTACTTATTATTATATACTATATTATACTATTTCTATTTATCTTATTACATACATTATATATTTCTATTATCAGTATATATTATCTCATTATACACAAGCATCCGACCCATTCACACAGCTCACATCGGGTTACACAGCGACCACACACACACACACACACACACATATATATTTTACTATAATATATATAATATATATATTATATACTTTATATATAGCTATATATACTTATGGATTTTCACTTTCTTTTTTTGAATATTATATTATTTTATAATAATACTACTTTATAATATCATATATTAATTTATATGTATGACTTATATGTTATTTTCTATAATATATCTAATCTTCTATAATATATAATATTATTGTTTATATATATTTGTATTATATGCTTGTGTGTCGCTCGTGTGTTTGCGTGTGTGTGTATATATTATATTTTATATATTGATTATTTAGATACTATATATATACTTATGATATATAACCTATGTATATTATATATCTTAATATATTATATCTTATTATTTGATATATACTATAATATATTATCATTATCTATGTCATATTATTATATTACTGATATTATATATTCCTCTAACTCATTTATACTATATCTTATTATATACTATATTATTCATATATCACAGCATATAATATATTGTGTGTGTGAGTTGGTGTGTGTCGTGTTGTGTGTGTGTGTTTGTGTGTGTTGTGTGGCTGTGTGTGTGTTGTGTGTGAGTGCGTTGCGCTGTGTGTGTTGTGTTGTGTTGTGTGTGTATGGTGTGTGTGTGTTGTGTGTGTGTGTGTCGTCGTGGTGCGTGCGTGCGTGGCGTCGTGCGTGCGTTTGTTGTGTGTGTGCTGTTGTGGTTGTGGGTGTGTGTGTGGTGTGTTGTGTGTGTGCGTGCGTGGCGGTTGCGTGCCGTGGTGTGTGTGCGTGCGTGTTGTGTGTGTGTGGTGTGTGTGTGTGTGTGTGTGTGTGTGTTGTGTGTGTGTGTGTGGTGTGTTGTGTGTGTGGTGTGGTGTGTGTGTGTGTGTGTGTGTGTGGTGTGTGTTGTGTGTGTGTGGTGTGTGTGTGTGTGTGTGTGTGTGTGTGTGTTGTGTGTGTGTGTCTTCAGGGCAATGACCCTCAGGCAGATGGACAGTTTCAGGAATGAGTTAAAAAGTAAAGCCCGGCCTCCTCTCCATTCATTATGAGTAGTCTGACCTTTTTTTTAGGAATTCCTATGTTACTTTTTATTGTCCTCAGCCAACAGACCATCAATTAATGGTCTTTATTATTTTTATAGTCATATCAGACGAACAATTTCAACTTATCTAATTTGCTCTGATATATCTTGATATACTTGTTTAGTGATGGTCATTGGGACTACTGCTAAAATTGGTGGGCTGTATAGATTTTCTGTATTTTGGAAGATGTGACCCATTCAAAATGTAAGTGACCTTTAAAGGGACAAGGGAAGGGGGGCATGAGAAAGGTCAGTATGATTTTGTTATAACAGACAGACTGGAAATGGAAAGGGAGAGGTCATTGTTATTCACTCAGGAATCAATTTCTAAGAAGGATATAGTGGTTCAAGGTTCTGTTGGTCAGCTGTGTATTATTTGTTTGTAGCCAATATGATGTAAGAGTTTGGAGCTTATGCAGAATACTTTATGTACAAAAGTAACGCAAAACTTTTTGGCTCTTTATTCGTGGAATTTACCCTGATTAATGTGTCCAACTTTATCTGGTATTGGCCACTGCTTGTGGTTCTCATGAATTAGATTTTTTTTTTTTTTTTTTTTTTTGATGTTTGTACAATTTGTTTAAAATCTGGATGAAAGTTAGAAAAGCTATATATTTACTATTTTTGATATATATTCCCTTTTTATTAGTGTTGTTCACACATTGTAAGCCTGTTGATGAAGATATTTGTTGAAAAGTTGTTGAAATATTATGGGAAAAGCTCACATAAGTGGGAAAGAATGAAAAAAAATACTCATATTTTACTGTGTATTTATAAACTAAAACACTTTGAGAATGTAGAGTTTTATAGAATTCAATTTCAAAAAGGTAGATATTATAAAGCAAATAAACACTTGTGTCCTTAATGACCACGATCATGATCCAAAGAAAAGGAAGTCTACTCTTTATGGGTGTCGTCCTCACAGGCAGCATGACCCTCTGGATAGCTTTGAAGTTGAGTACTGTCTTACTGATTATGCCTTGATTCACTAGGTGATTCTGTGAGACGGTAGGGCACAGGGACTTGGAAGTATGGTTACTAGGGGTGCATGATATGATTAGTATTCTTTGTAGATTTTAGATAACTAAACCCAGATGCAAGGGAATTACTAATGTGTAGAAGCAATACTCATTTCTTTGTTGTTGTTTCATTTGTACAGGGGCTTATAACCTAATTGAAGTTCTCTATCGAGATGAGAACGTCCTACCCTTGCTCTGCCATGAACTTATTTGGATGATCATGAATGTATGAAAAAACCATGTGTGTATGAAAAAAAGGCTAATGTGCAACTCAAAGATGTTTGGGCGAGGGGGGGGGGTAAAGCTGGAAGGCAGCGGGCATTGCTGATATATGTGGCAGGAGTAGTATGAAGAATTATGAATTATGAGGTATGAAATGAAGATTTCATTTCATACTTCCTCCCAGCTTTTGAAGATTGAAATGACAACAGAGAGAAATTTTAGTATGTACAATGTATGGACGTTATATATTTTAACATGCATTTGATGTACAGATCTTGAACAGGCAGTCATTACGTTGGTGATTTCTCATCTTCCTTCCAGATTCAAAACAATCATCACTTGAATCATCACTCCAATGGCCACATCCCAAACGGCATGTTCAACGGTGCATTCAATGGATTTAACCTCGCAGACAACACTGTTCCAAATGGATCACTTCAGTTATCCATCCAGGGGAAGAGTGTCTTTGATACCGATGCCGATGATGACATTGTGCAGATGGCAGCTCAGAGGGACCAACTCCGAGGGGCAAGGAATATCAGAGGCATGATGGCGCCTGTCATGAGTAAAGAGGTGAGATAACATGAATAGCTTCCATGTTCCCTTGTTCATTTGCTTCACAGATTTTTTGGTTTTGTTGTTTAGAAGTTTTTACTGAGATTAAGAGAGATTTTTTCTGCGACTGCATTCAGTTCACAATTTGAGTATGGATGAATAGATATTATTTTCTCTTTATATGAATGTATAAACAGTTTCCTGTATTATTTTGGAAACATAAAAGCCAAAGGTTAAAAGTGTTTATAAATTGTTTAAGAAATATCTTTGATTTTCTTTGAATTCTTAAGAATTAGGTTTAATTGCAGCTCTCTGTACTGTATGTAAGAGTACCTGTATCCTGAATGTATTTAAATATGATATTTTAAGCAGGTAAAAACCAACAATTTATTGCTATTTATACCGTATGTTTTTTTTCCATTCATGTTGGAAGGCTTTTGTTGTGGAATATTACTAGTGTGTGATAATCAATCTTGTTTGATATTACAGGAGGATCCAAGAAACAGAAGTGCAAACCGCCGCTTTCTTCTGACAAAGCAGCGAAGTGAGTCCATGCTTGGAGACCATGAAGAGTCTCAAGAGGATGTGTTTCCGTCAATGGACAACAGAGAAGATGGTGATCAGGGAGATGTGGTTGGAACCATGAACAGAAGAAGAGGTATTAGGGAAATGGGTGGGTTGATCGGTGGATTGGGAGGGGTTGGGCTGCGTCCAAATGCAGACTATCTGTCAGACCTTAACAGGCGAGGAGACATTATGGCTCAGTCGATGAGGAGGCAGAGTCTGAAGGGCTCAAAGCAGAACCTGCTGGAGAGTGGATTTGCAAACTTTAGCTCAAATGACAGTTCAAGAATGAGCATAGGGACTGTCAGTCCTGAGGAGTTTTTGATATTCAAATCAGAAAATGATAAGTCTGCCATGATAGAGCAAGGTGCAGGAGCAGGCCTCAGAAAAGGACAACCTCGTTTCATTCCAAACTCTCATGAGGATATTCAGATACTAAACCTTCAAGGGTTTATGGATGCTTCTTCCTTTGCAAATGACCTTGGAAACTTGAGTAAGAGAAAACAAAGGAAAAAAAGGGGCAAAAGGGGTCTGGAAAATGGTCAGATTGAAAAAATACGAGATGGATATAAGCAGAGTTCCAGGCCGAGAAGAAAGCGAAGCCATAGACTACCCAAGACTCATATGAGTGATGATGATGATGGAGAGTTGACTCTTAAAGACATTGATGACCTTGATAACAAAGTGGCGGGGCTTGTCATTGGGCCCAAAACTGTAAATACAGAGAGTTCAGGCACTCCCATTACTCTGGAAGAAGCAAGCCATCTCAGAAATCTTCTAACAGGAAGCCCAGCTAATACAATGCCAGCAGAATGGATGCAACAAAACTTCAAGCAAAATGCAAATCCAAATTTGTCATACGGCTTGGTTCAGAATAAGGTGAGTGTTGAAACCAATGCCACCAGGATAGTCTAATATTCTTTATAGTATAGTTTTTGCGAAATGTTTACCTTGGTGGCTCCACAAGTGCTTAGCCACTAGAGAATCATTTAGTATACCTTATAAGCCCACCTTTTTGGGAATTTAAAAAATCTTACTAATACTGTCAATATCAATACTGTTCTTGTTATTGTAGCCATTATAGTTATTATGATAAGATTTACATTACTAATAGCAGTATAAGAGAGAAAGAAAATATTTTCAAAAATCAAGGAAAACAGGTGAGATAGGTGATACTAGTAATTGGTTCATTGGTACTTGTGAAGCCATCTATGTGTAAAGACATTTAATAAACTTACATGCCATCCCCAGTGGCATTGGGCCAAGACTGATTTTGCCACTGAAATTATAGGAAAAAAAAATTTTACATTAATCATGCAACACCAGAAAGAATGATTGGAAGTCAATTTAGGTTTCCACTGAGTGCAGTAAGACAGTAATCTTCTTTTCATATTTCAGGGAGGTCCTTGTGGTGTGTTAGCATGTGTTCAGGCTTATATGATGAAGTGCCTCATCTTCGGTACTGCTGTGTCTCCCAGCACCAGCCCTGTGAGTCCCCTCCGGCCATCTCAACGAGAATGGTTATGGGCTCTAGCTTCTGCTATTACAGAAATATTGTGGAAGGCTGGACAGGAGAAAAAGGCAATACTTGCACTGTAAGCAGTCCAGAGATTTTTATTTCATCTTTTGGTCAGTGTTATGAGGAAATAGAATGGAGTGGCATCTAATGAGAGAGAAGAAGGGATTAATTGCTAGAATGGGCAGTTCAGATTTTATTTCTTGTAAATAATTTGCTGGCAGTAAAAGAAATGGGGAAACTGACTCATGCACTTCTTTGATTGTTTATTCATCTACTTATTTATTACAGACCTGGTTCTTTCGCCCACTTTGCGGAACATGGTGTCGGCCGTTACAGTAACGATGGTGTGACAGAGAACCTCAACCTCTACGAATTTGTTGTACAGGATGATCTGTATGATGCAGTCAATCGCCACATGTCGGTCTTCACTGCTGAGACTGGCTCTGGTTGCGTTATCCTCCTGTACTCATTACTTCTGACGAGAGGCTTAGAAAAGTAAGTTCAGCTGTGGAAGCTTGTGTTGGTGTGTCTAGTTTTGTTTTGTAAATCTATTTCCACATCCTGTACTCTTTGCTTTAGGCTCTGGTTAGGTTGGGAATGAAGTTCAACTTGAATATATGATGACTCAAGATAGATAGAAGTTTGAGTGTGGGTTTATTTAAGAAAGTATATTTGAGTCTTTTTTTTTGTATTGTATTATATTGTATTTATTTTGATTTATATGTTATTATTATTATTTTTTTTACAAATATTATTTTGTGGATCTCCTACATCAGAAAAAATCTCAAGTGTTAACTGTAATAGAAATTATAATGTTTTGAATGAGAACTTTAATGAAGTCTTTTTGTTCCAGTGTCGAAACAGACAAGGATGCTGGTGGTGGTCAGCTCCTGAATGCACACGGATATTCCTCACAGGAAATTGTGAACCTCCTCCTGACAGGTATTGCATGTACTAACACCTTTAATGGTGATCAGACCCTTGGCGGCAATTCAGATGACAAAGTTGTTTTGAAAGGTGTCCATCATCGATCTGACATTGGTCTTCTGTCTCTGTTTGAACACTATGATTGCTATAAGGTGAGTTTTAAATACTTTGATTGGTTTTATTAGAATTACATGCATCATTTACATAAACCATTTGTTTGAGCAAAGGAAATACCTTGATTAGGTTGGCATATTTAAGATGTATATTTCTTCTACCTCAAATAGTGAATACTACTTTCAGTCAACTAATTCTTTTCCAATACCTTGATATCTTTTTATTATATTTTAAAGGTTGGATCACATCTCAAGACCCCACAATACCCAATATGGGTCGTTTGCTGTGAAAGCCACTACAGTGTCCTCTTCAGCCGCGACACTGCCGTCAGTGCTGATGTACCTCCTAACACTAAGTTTGATATCTACTATTATGATGGCCTTGCCCTTCAGGAAGATGAGATAAGGCTTACTATTGGTAAGATAAGTTCTGATGTATTTTCATTAATATTTAGTATTAGGAAGAAGCAAAGATTTACTTCCTTTGATATTTACTTGATATTTTAAAGTATGCCATAGTGCAGGAGGGTTCCTAAAGCCTTACGTTGAAGGAACAGATTGGAAAGAAAGCCAGTTGGTATGGAAATGCACTTTCTGATTTGATAAGGTTTGGATGTGATGCTGAGGTTGTACTTTGAGATTCAGTTTCTCTTTTAGAGGAAAAGGTGCACTGTATTTTTGATTTTGGGTTTGTAAAGCAGTTTATTGTACCACTTTTTACTGTACTCTTAACTTTTTTTTTTCAGATAACACACACATGTATATGTACAAGGACTCACACACACACACACACACCAACACACTACACACACACACACACCACACACACACACATCCACACACACACACCACACACACACACACACACACACACACACACACACACACACAACACACACACACACACACACACACACACACACACACACACACACACACACACACACACACACACACACACACACACACACACACACCACACACACCCCACCACACACACACACACACACACACACACACACACACACATACACACACACACACATGCACCCCCCCTCCCCGCCACACACACACATATGTATATATCCAAAGGATTGGAAACATTATGTTTAATTTTTTCAGATATGGAGGGAGGCGAACCTGACCTAGCCATTATACCTCCAATGGAACACTGTATCAGAACGAAATGGAAGAATGCAGCTATTAACTGGAATGGAACCGAGCCAATTTTATAGTTTTAGGACATTTTTATTGATTTATATATAACTGGTGAAAAATTGAAATGGCATCAATGGATATATGAGTGTAATTATATGGGTTTATTCCTGTTCCTTGATGTTATAGTTTAGTGCTAATGTTTATGTTCAGAAATAATGGGTATTCCTTATCTTAATTCTTATGTACAGACAATATGTGTAAATGGAAGTACCGTGTACTGTATGTATATCATAGTGACAAAAAGAGCGAACAGGAAAGGTACTAAGAAATGTGAATATTTTTTATGTCATTAAAAAAGAAAAAAGAGAAAAAACAAGAAAAAATCAGTAATGATAGTGATTCTTATTTTAGGTTACTTATGGTGCATAAAGTAAAGGAATATCTGACCAACAAATATATGTTTTATATGATACTCAGAGGTGACAGTTGAGACAAAAGAATAATAACTATAACTATGATTTTGTTTTGCATCACAAAATCGGTTCAGTAGAATTTATTGGTCTTTTTTTGCATCTAAATGTGTGTATTTTTCAGAAATGTCTTCAAAAACAAATCACTAATAAGTAAGGCTTTAAATATTTTTGGATTGTGTCTCTTTACTGTCAAGAATATTTCTGGAAAATATTCTTTAATTGCATACCCTTACATGACTTAAAGTTATGAATTACTAATATATAGTGTGATATAGTGATAATCACCAAGAATATCATTTGGCAAAGGGTCTCATTTATAAGAATTGAAACTTCATTTTGATTCAAGTACATAAGACATAAGAGTTCTTTTTGTTCAATACAGTAATTTCAGAGCATTTACGACTAGCAGCCTTTGAATCTATAATAGAATTCCATGAAACAGGACTTGACTAAGTTAAAGACATTTGACTTGTCTTGGGAAAATACAAAATCTGAAACATATATCCAATTAGTCTATATTCATTTCAGCTTAAATGTATATGAAAGAGAAACTGGTTAACATGTTGCAACAGACTGTGTTGTATGTACTGTACAAATTATGTGGTAAGTATCAAGACATAATTGCATTTTATACATTGTAGTTTATTCTAAAAATTGGGAAACCAGTAGATTAGAGCTGAAATTCTCCTGTAATTGTCATGAATTCAGTAATGTTGCAAGTATTCATAGTGAAGTTTTACAATGAGAATTATATTTATATCTGTTCATAACAGTGCCGTCCAGTCAGTGTGATCTATAGTTGTACAGTGAATTTATATCTGAACAAATTCTAAATTCTTGCTTTGTAAGTATATGAAGGAGTAACTGTTTCTTATAAACACCTATTTTATTTATTTACCTCATTTTTAAGTATGAAAAAAAGTATGTGCCTTTTAAAAAGCTAAATAAAACATGTGAACCAATTATAAATGCAGTTTATAATTTTCATTAATTATTCCCTCTAAAGTACTTGTTTTCTTATCACCATCATTCCTTCAAGGTAATTTTAAAAATCCATAAAAGATAACAGATATATTTCAGAAAATTTGATGGACTTTCAAGTTTTATGTCCTTAAGCAGTGCCTCAGGTGATGACACAATTTACTGTATCTTCTCCCGGAAAATAATCAATAGATAGGTTAGCAGAAGTTCACCGAGAGGGAGATACTAAATGGAAAAAATGGAGAAGGCTATGTTAATCTTTAATTCTGCTTGCCAATTCAGGATGCTTATATGTCAGTTTTGCTAGCCTGGCATCTTTAAATTATATTTGAAAATGTTCTTGTATAGTACAGCCAAAAATTTGGCTTCAAGCTATTCTTTACTTTCAGCACAAAAGAAACGATTTCTCACTGTCCAGATCCCAAATGCAGGATTGGGATAGTCAATAAAATAAAGATAAAAGAAAAGATAAAGGTAAAAAATGTTGGTACCCTCATTTATCTCTTAGAAAAGATCTACAAATAAGCATTGTTTAGGTCCCATTATAAATACCATAAGACTATACAGAATTGGGAATACATATGTTGGTTGGCTGGTTCATTCTGGATTACTGGCTGCAGATATAGTACTGTCAATAGAGAGGCATTCACATTCATCCTTTAGCATCTCTTCAGTTATACTGATAATTAATAATTAAAGAGGTTATTAGCAGTTAAACTTAGAAGTGATTAAAATGATTCTTTCCTTTTTTCTGCATGCATTTGAATTAATTTGGCATTCTTGTATTTGCTTGTTCCATAATTAAGAATTTTCTTTAAATTGAAAAATTAAGTTAATACCTGATATTGGAAAGCAATTATAACCTAAAAGCTGATAATTATCATTACTTCAGACATATCCTTGCAGGTATTTATTCAGATATTTGCAGTGTCAAATAATGCAGAATATATACATTTTTATGTACTTTCGTACTCAAATACCTAAATGCATCTGATTAATCTATATCCCATTCAATTGGACAAATATTAATTTCAGTAATATTCAGTTGCAGCTTAATTCTACCCAATATCATTAACTACATTTGAAAATACTTTTGATGTATACCCCTATCTTCACTCTTTTGTCGATAAGTACAAGGAGAGAAGATAAGAGAAAATCATTAGAACAAAATGAAATAAAATACCAAACCACCATAAATAGGTCTTATCCAGTTGATGGTGGCGGCGCAGCTATACTTGCACGGCACACTGTAGATTTGTTTTACTAATTCAGTTTACATATAGAAATGTCTTGTCACAAAGGAGTCAATTACTAGGTGTCGTACCTTGCTTAAATGTTTTTGTTTTGATTGCTATATTACTGTTATTTAAGTTGTAATAATAACAGATACCACTACTAGTAGTACTACCAATAATAATGTTAAATAATAGTAACAGAAACAAACCTTTTTTTTTTTCAAGAAATGGATAAACTGATGAGATCAGGCAGGCCTAATGCTTGACTATGCACATGTGAAGCCCTTTGTGAGTAAAACAAAACTGATAAAGCAAAACTGCAGTGGATAGTGTATGAAGCTGATGAGAATGGGTTAACATCTAAAAATCTGTATTTGGAGAGAAAATCATGAAAGATACCAGTACATTTAATAATTACACCTACAGATTTACATTACCATAAACTAATTAAAGTAGGCATATTATCTAGAATACAGATAAAAGTTACTTTTATTCTTTCTGCATCTGATGTCTCAGAACACAGTAGCTGAGTGATTAGTGTAAGCAGCCAACAGTCATGGGTATTGTTTTCCCCAAGTTGCAGGAGTAAGCTAAGTACAGAGTTAAACTGGCAAGCAAAACAGGATGTCTACTAGATTCTTTAGAAAAAAGATTCTTATAATATTTTTCTATTCTGCAGAGCATTCTTCCTTATTGATGGCAAAATGTTGCTGCTTTAGATATTAATGGGGATTTTCTGCTTTATTAAGAAATCAAGAAGAAAATTACAATTATTTATTATAGTGTTACAAAAGCATCATACTTACATGGTCAAATAGTAGTAGGCTAAAACATAAGCTACTTCCAAGTAGTACTCTTCTCTAAATGACATATAAACATTAATTAGACTCTACTCTCCCTATTTAAAAAACCTAATCATCTGAATTCCACATCAGGAGAAATGACAAAAGCCTTTTCTGTTAAAAATTATGATATGAAAGACCTTGATATCCTGCATCCTTACAAAGAAAGAAGTAGTAGGAAAGAAATAGTGGAGATGACAATGTGAAAAACATCATTATATGCAGGTGATATGATAGGGTAAATAAAAGCCAGCTCATGGTGCATAAAAGATGTACAATTAATGCTTATGACTCCAGCTATATTTTTAAAATCAATTAATGGGTCCCTGGTATTTCAGGGATACTGTAATTAATTCATGTGGTGGATGCATATGAAGATGAAAAGTGATACTGATGACTGTAGATTAAGTTAGTAATATTAATGACCATAAATGCTTTGACATCGGTTAGTAGGAGTTGACATTTAAAAAAAACTGCATACCTTTCTAAACAATGTCATATCATTTCTGATATAAGTGTAAACAATCTTATTTCTCAACTTAATAATGAATATAACATTAATGCTCTAAAAGAGTCCGTTTTGTGCATTTTTTTCCCCATCTTTACCAGAATTACAAACCAACTTTTGTGACACTGAACCTGTGGGTGTGGGTGTGCATGTGTGTGTGATTGTGTTTGATTTTTTTTTTTTGTTTATTGATTATAATTATATATAAAAAGTTCTATCATGTACCAGCACCATTACTGAATGATAGACAAAAAAGTGAACTAATGTTTTGTCTTTTCTTTTTATACAAACCAGATATCATATATCACAATTGGAATAAAGTCAAGATGGCAACAGTTATGAAATATTCCTTTATTGAAAAAGGAGACCTTCTGAAGTCATAAAGTGATGTTTTGCTGATAGTTCAACTTTTGTAGACAAGAACTGTGAACTATATACAGTACAGTCAGTGATTAACTTATACCTAATGACAGTAACAATTGAAAAAATCAGAACTTATTCAATAAATCTCACAAACTGGGACATGTCTATGACAACATTTGCACTTGAGTGAGGATATGGCAGTGAAGCTTTGGAAGCTGGAAAATCGTGAATCACATAAAATACTTGGGTAAGTTATAACCATTCTTGAAGCTTTATTTGCTGCTTAGAATGAAGTGCAGAATGTCAAAAAGTGCTTACTCTGAAAATAAGAACAACTGATCTCTAAGAGCTATGCCACAGTGTGAGACAAGTTATAAACACATATTTTCTGTGAATAGTACAGTGCAAGCACATTTTTTATATGTAACTATTATTCATAATGTACATTTTTCATTGAAAAATTGTAAAACTAAAGTAAAAACTAGAGTAACAACTTATTTTCCATGGCACTTTGTGGTCTTTGCTGGGAATAATTACTTTCTGCTCAACAGTTAACAATGATGAAGTTAAAACTGACATATTAATGATATTGATTCTGACAATGCTTATGGTATAGCCAGCAAAATAAAAAAAAACTCAATTGGAAATATATAAATCTTTGCACCTCATTCCACTCATTATAAATCATTTTTGAAGCATGGTCTTGGAGGGAGAGACAAAAAAAAAAAGAATACCAGGAAACTTCATCAACAGAAGAACTACTGTACTATCTTTAAACACTTTCAAGTAGTAAAAATGTAATCCAATTAACTCTCCTTTACTTTTAAAGAACTACAGTAACATGGCAGTCTTACATAGTCTATATCCAAGTTACCTCTTCTGAAAGCTTGTTAAATGGGAAAGCTAAATCTCTCTTTGTCCTCTGAGTGATTTCAGAGAATCTTCGCAGCGGATGGATGTCCTTTTTTCCATCTGAATTTTTTAGCTGTCGTGCGCGTAACTGCTGAGCTCTCAATTTCAGTGCTCTTACTCTTGCTGCTCTGTCCTCAAGGATTTGCCTGGAAGACAGAGTAGTTGTTGATGGTGTTGTTGTTTGGGTACTTTCTAATGGATTTACAACTGGTGATGTATCTGGTCTCTCAATGGTGTGATAATTCTGATTATTTTTTCTGTTTCCTGACTTGTGCTTTCTCTTCTTATCGGTGGTGCTCTTCTTCTTGCCTTTCATTGTGTGGATATGCTTTTGGTTTTTGTTTCTCTTGTTATGTTCCTCCTGTTGTGGTAAAGACTCAGATCTTCCTTCTTCATGGTGACTAGGGTCTGAGTCACTCTGGACATTATTTTTCTTAGATCGCCGCTTGTGCCGGGCTCCTTCCGGGTAATAGTCATAATACTCAAACTCTGTATCTTCATCTTCATCTCCATACTCATATTCATCATATTCATAGGCATAATCATCATAAACTTCATATTCATAGTCATATGGCACATCCTCATCAGTGGAAGCACTAGATTCTGTTGTAGTTTCACCAGCTATACTTGAATCCCCTGCACCAGGAAGGAATGGTGCTTCTGTTCTTGAGGCCGTGTCTTCTGGAACTTGTGTGCCGGTAGTGTCTACTTCCACTGGGAATGTAATGCTTGAGTCAGGAATGGGAGGAACTTGATTGGAAGAGGAAGTGGTGCCATCAAGTGTTGGAAATACTGAAGAAACCAAGCCATTAAGATGATCAACCTGTGGAAGAAACAGTGATTAAGACATGTTTTTTCCCATATTTGTTTCAGGATAAAGAGTGTATATATATATAAAGCTTCATACCTGTTTGTACAACTCATCGGCTGTTGTTCCTGCATATGGAGCTGATCCAGAACTTGGATTGTAAGGTGAATCTGGATGTCCCGGTAAAAGATGATCTTCACCAGCTAAGCCTGAAAATAGAATTAAATGTAGTATATTCCTGACACATATGAAGGAGGAAAATATCAGACAGAAAGGTCATGCATGACAGTTAATACTACAAGAAGACATTAATTTTAAGTCATGCAATACATCTCAGAAATATATCTTCTACAGTTTGTGCTGAGGGTAACTAATACTTTGACAAAAATAAAAACACTATAATCCTATAAGAGTGCCATAAAGTTTCCAAACACAACAACTGGACCATTCACATCACATGCCTTGATACACCAACTCTAGTTCAGAGAAAAACAGCTGCAATTGGACAGACAAAGTCACAAAATGTCAAGAAGATAACAGTAACACTTTATGTTAACCATACAAATTGACGCAACACTTTGCTGCCTCTTGTGTTGCAGTAAGTGCTGCCAGAAAGTAAATTTGACATTCATGGTTCTGTCTTTCAAAATAAAAAATGTACAATGAGTGCACTGAATTTGAGATTGCAAGTTTTGTTTATTAAAATTTGTAGTAGAGTGATAGGTAATGGCTGTACTGTGATGCACTAAAACAATTATTAACTGTTAATACACACAATAAGGTTTTGTGAACATTATTCACTCTTTGTTTCTGAATGTAATGTATTCTTCACAAAATGAAGAAGAATATAGTTTTTGGTTAAGACATATAAACAAAATCTGACATTAATACATGTACTATACATTTGAAGCAGAATATCTTAAACTTTGTTAGATTGCCCAGTTCTCTAGATCTATTTTTGAAGAAAGCTATCCACATATGTTTTATCTGCAACTGGATGTTTTCAGTTAATTTTAGACTGTAATTTATTTCTTATGAAGAACTACTGCTTTGTATTCTATTTTGTTGAGAATTGAGAAAGACCCGAACACTGAACCATCAGAAAATAAATACAGCATAAATATTCTACCTATGATGACAGCATGATTCCCCGA